CCGTTATAGATAATATATTTATTTTGATGTGTAGGTTGATTTGCAGGTTGGTTGTTATTTGTATTGTTACTGTGTATTTTATTATAATAACTAGCTATTTATTAAATTAAAATACTGTTATGAACACTATACAATGTCTTTATTTTGGTAGATACCAGAATACATGACACAATGAATCTTTGTAATATATTTATGTTCTCTAGTTTAAATAATCACACCAGTATTTAAACAATGTATGCTGGTCACCTGGAATCCTGGTAAGCTTCCAGCATGGTATATTTAATACTATTATTAAACATAAACTGGTGATAGATGGATGCTGGTGACCAGCCCAGCATACTATGCTAGTCTCTGCTGTTTTTCTTAGCTAGCCAGGATGGCTGGTTTAGCTGGTGGCTGATTTGGCTGGTTTAGCTGGTGCACCAGCTAAACCAGCTAAACCAGCCATCCTGGCCAGCTAAAGTGTCCAAAACCCCTCTAAACCAGCCAAGCTGGTCAACTTAGATGGTCAGGCTGGTTGACCAGCTAAGTTGGTCTAAGCGTATCTTGCCCTCGCCCTAATGAAATCCAAACTGATCTGAGACCCTTCCATAGGTTCATTGAAAAGACCATAAAACCACCTTAAACCTAAGAGTCCTACCTTGAGGGAGATAATGGTGAGCGTGCAGCCAAGAGAAAGGTTTTCTGAAACTGCCAGAAAAACTTTTATAACTTACATTTTACCGGTCACCGGTCATGTGATCACGTCACGTGACAATGACATCACATTCCCACACATATATAAGAAGCAGCCTGTCACTTGAAGCTTCACAATCTCCATCCTCTCCAACGGTTCAGTGCAACTTTAACAGACAGAAACGGTGACATCATCATCATGCTGGTTTTCCTCTTCCTGTTGGGCCTGGCTCTGGGTGCTGTGTCTTCTTCAGATGACCCTCAAATGGACCAACAGCAAGACCCCTGTCCCTCCTTCTGGTACTCCTTCAACAGCCGCTGCTACAAGTACTCCAACACAGAGAGGACCTGGGCTGATGCAGAGCTCTACTGTGTGTCCCAGGGAGGCAACCTGGTGTCTATCCACAGTGCAGAGGAAGAGAATTTTGTGAAATTGATGGTCGAAATCTCTGACCCTGCTGCGGGAGCAACATGGATCGGACTCCATGACATCGCCAAAGAAGGAAGATGGATGTGGTCTGATGGGTCTGTAGCCACGTATTTCAATTGGTATAGACAACCAAACAACAGCGGTGAAGACTGTGTAGTCAACAACTTTCGAGGGAAGTGGAATGATGTGCGTTGTTCATTAACTTTTCCCTCAGTTTGTGCATCTCGCACAACTTGTCCTTAGCAGCTGAGATGTTACGTGATCACCTGTTTTGTTAACATGATAACAATAAAGACACAGATGTAAACTTGTATATGTGTGTGAACAGAAGTCCTTTTGTCTAACCTTTATTTTCATGAATGTTCCATATTCACACTGGTCGCTCCAGGGGTTAATCAAAGGAATTATTTCTACACCTTTTTTTAAATATCATAAATACATTTAGTAAATAATATTGATGATGCATTATTATAACATTTTGATCCACAGATTTTAGCCGTTGCTCATTATTCCTGGTATTATACTTATTTGTTTTAACCACACACAGTTGTATATCATTCAATGATCACATGGATGTGGTCAGGTATTTACGGCACCTGGTGTATGGATGACCAACGGGCTGAACTTGCTCTTTGCACAAATTACATTCTAATAGCCTCTGACAAGGGACGTGTCTCTATTCTTGTTTTGCTCGATCTCAGTGCTGCATTTGATACTATCGACCATGATATCTTATTGCAAAGACTAGAGCACTTAGTTGGCATACAGGGAACTGCTTTAGACTGGTTTAGGTCCTATCTATCTGAACGCTCTCAGTTTGTACGTGTCAATGATGAATCTTCCACGCAAACCAAAGTTAGCCATGGAGTGCCACAGGGCTCAGTGCTCGGACCTATTTTGTTCACATTATATATGCTTCCGTTAGGCAATATTATAAGGAATCATTCTGTAAACTTTCATTGTTATGCGGATGATACTCAACTATATTTATCAATCAAGCCTGATGAAATTAATCATCTAAATACAATTCAAGACTGCCTTAAGGACTTAAAAACGTGGATGACCTTAAACTTTTTGATGTTAAACACGACCAAAACTGAAGTTATTGTACTTGGCCCGAAGAATCTACGAAACAAATTATCTAAGGATATACTAACTATGGATGGCATTAATTTGGCCTCCAGTGAGACTGTAAGGAATCTTGGTGTTATATTTGATCAGGATTTATCCTTTAACGCCCACATAAAATCAATTTCAAGGACCGCCTACTTCCATCTACGTAACATTGCAAAAATCAGGCATATCCTGCCTCAAAACGATGCAGAGAAACTAGTCCATGCATTTGTTACTTCAAGGCTGGATTATTGTAACTCTTTATTATCAGGGTGTACCAAGAAGTCAGTCAAGTCGCTTCAGCTGATTCAAAATGCTGCGGCTCGTGTACTAACCAGAGTTAGGAAAAGGGACCACATTACTCCTGTTCTGGCTGCCTTACACTGGCTCCCTATAGAACACAGGATAGAATTTAAAATTCTTCTTCTCGCCTACAAAGCCCTTAATGGGCAGGCGCCATCTTACCTTAAAGAACTCATTATACCATACTGTCCTACTAGGGCATTGCGTTCCAAGAATGCAGGGTTGTTGGTTGTTCCTAGAGTCTCTAAAAGTACAATGGGAGCCAGAGCCTTTTCTTATCAAGCTCCACATTTGTGGAATCAGCTTCCAGTTTGTGTTCGGGCGGCAGACACCCTATCCGTTTTTAAGAGTGCGCTTAAGACCTTCCTTTTTGATAAAGCTTATAGTTAGGGCTGATTAGATCCAGCCCCTAGTTTTGCTGATATAGGCTTAGTTTGTCGGGGGACATCTTACTTCTTCCTTCTCTCTGTCTATACCTGTGTACTCTCATGTTCCGATTAACCCAGCTTCCCCAAATGTCTTTCTTTTTGGTGTCTATATACGCCGGGATCCGGAGTCATGGATGATCCTGCGCTCCTCTGTCCTGGATCGCGAGCCCTGGATCTTGAGTCGTGGCTGTGGTCCTGGATCATAGGTCCTGGATGGATATCCTCGTGGATTCATCTTCCTATTATACACACATGCATTTCCAAACATTTGGACTACCTATGTTGCAAATGTATTATCTTTTCAATTTACACACGGCATCTATTGCACGTCTGTCCGTCCTGGGAGAGGGATCCCTCCTCTGTTGCTCTCCCTGAGGTTTCTCCCATTTTTCCCTTTAAACTGTGGGTTTTCTCCGGAAGTTTTTCCTTGTACGATGTGAGGGTCTAAGGACAGAGGGTGTCGTATTGTCATACTGATATTTTGTACAAACTGTAAAGTCCACTGAGACAAATGTAACATTTGTGATATTGGGCTATATAAATAAACATTGATTGATTGATTGATTGATTTTCTGTTGACCGTATAGTCCTGCTTTGGTTATTGTTTGTGTTATTTTGTTCAATAAACATTAACTTTTGCACAGATTTGATTTAGGAATGCTTCAAAGTGATGAGCCTAGTCTTAGCGACATGATTTATTGGGAAAAGTACCATCACTCTTTTTCTGGTTTTGGGAATAACAGGTGTTTAATGGACAGGGACTCTACTTATCATGTTTATCTTTCACATGGACGTAAACGTACAAACCTAAAATGTACTCAACAGTACTATTTTCTGATAAACAAGACATTTATTCTCTCTGTTGTTTTAAAGGAAGACTAACAAAAGGAGGGCTTGAGCTATCAGATATAGTTAAGATTACAGAGTATAATATATATATAGCACGATTCAATATACCGTAGTGCTTGCATAGAGTATATTCAGGCAGGCATGGCGTGAAACTCAAAAACTGGCAGCATGGTAACAGACATGTGTATCATCACCTGCGTCTTAGATGTCAATGCAATTCATATAAAATGAATGATTATTGGTTTTTGTTGGGAAGCAAAAACAATCAAAAGTATTCAAATTGATCATCATTTTTTTTAAAAAGTCAAACTTCTTGGGTTTTTCCTTTGTGTGTTATTTGATTGAAGAGGTACTGGAAAATAACCGAGTGAAACAAAAGTGCCCACAATCCTTCTGTGCATTGTTGACTAATGCAAACGGACCACACCCTGGACAACAGTATTACAAGTTTAAACTCCCGAAATAACCCAAAACTAGAGTATCAGCTTCAGTTCAAAGGTCATGGAAAGGAAGGAGGGAAGGAGATAGAAATAGTGTATATGGTAAATTGGCAGCATTTATATAGCACTTTTCCACTCTCGTGACCCCTCAAATGTCTTTGACATAAGTCAAGCTGAACAGCAGGATACACACATTCATATAGTGCATGCACCTGCTAATGGAGAACAAGATTCACACTCACACTGATCGCCATGCAATCAGGAGCAATTTAGGGTTCATTATCTTTGTCTCTTAGAGTTCAGGAGAGCCCAACAATGATGGAAAAGAAGACTGTCCACACCAACTACGGTTTTGATCACACATGGAATGATTTCTATTATTATTCTTATCCCTCAGTTTGTGCATCTGGCATAACTTGTGTTTATCAACTGAGATATTACATACATCTTATTGAACCAGGTCACTGTTCACCTGTTACTCTGTTAACATCCCTTTGGCCCCAATAAAGACACAGATGTACACTTACTGTGTGTATGAAAGTCCTTTTTGTGTTTGTGATATATGCAACATAATGGTTCACTTTATTGACAAGGAAACAATGCATTATTCACACACTTTGACAGCACATTTCACCTTTAAAGCCAGTCTCCTTAACTTTTGCTGAACAGCAGACAGTGCAGCCTCTAAGTTATAGAAAAGTATTTAATGTTTAAAATGTAGCTAAGTGGTAATTTAGCATCAGGGTACAAGGGTTTGCTGGTGTAACCTTAAAAAAGTGAAAAGAGTCAGTCTGGCTTGCAGACTTTAGATTTTTTTTTAAACATGAGGCACAATTTCTCTTTCTTCTGAGAAACATAATCTCATTTTAAAGAGGCTTTCTGTTAAATCAACTCAGCAATAGTTGGTCAGCAAGATCTCCTAAATCAGAGCTGTGGTCTGTTCCTATTCAGTGTCATAGAAAGGCCTTGTGGAAGTCATTTGACTATTACCCATATAGTGGGCCATCACCAGGTGAGCAGGTAGACTGTTTTTGCTTATGTTAAGGTGTGGTTGTGTTTAGCGTTAGCCAAGTTCAGTTGACCAATAATATATTAGGCCAACAGTGAACACACCCTGTCTCTGATGCGGTACTGTGGCTGGGGTCCCCTTTAAATAGCTGACAACACCAACTCCTGCTGAGGGGATGGAGGAACCTGTGGACCCTCAATCTAAATCCAAAGTTGTTTTGCAGATTGTGGGGCTTCCCTTCACAAGGACAATAACAGAGGCATGAATTACCAAATAGAATGCAGCTTTATTTCACAAATATACATGTTAAAATGTCAATGTTCAGCAGCAGTCAACGGGTAAACATACTTTACACTATTACATGGTGGGTTTTCCCTCCTCAGATGGGCAGGTCTGGTCCACTAGGTCACAATGCCTGCTAACTGTGAGGGACAAAAAGAGAACAAAAGCACGCACTACTCAAAGCACAACTTCTACAAAATTATTACAGTGAGTTAGTTTACTCACCCTTTTAAAGTGTCACACCATGCAGTCCCTACACTGAAAGCAGACAAGGTTCCCCCAGAGGGAGAGGAGCCTGTAACACAAACACTTAGTCAATTATAATGCCCACAATCTGCACACAAGAAAACTATTGACAGAAAATAAAACTAAAAAAGCACTAGAGGACAGTATTCTTTTTAAAAAACAAACGCAACATAATAGTTGCCAGCTCAAACACCAGTTCAATATAACATTAAAGAAGGTTAAAAACCAGGCTTACTTTGACAGAGTAATAGATCCTCCTGGCTCAATCCAGGAGGGGAAATGCTCATACTCAGCTCTATGGATTAAACACAAAAACAGATGTTATAAATAATAATAAGAGCTAGAAGAAAGTGAACAAACGTCCATAGCCAGTTTCCCGGGTTGCTTGGCTGGTTTTAGCTGGTGTTAGGCTGGTTTAGTTGGTTTACCAGGCTGGACAAGCTGGCCAGGCTGGTCTTGCTGGTTCAAGACTTTGGTCGAGCCAAAGTGCTGTACTTGTAATAAAAACACATTACTATCACAATAAAAGACAATAATTTACAACAGAAATATAAAAAACAAAAACACAGGGAATAGTCAGGTTGAGCCAAAGTGCTGTACATGTAATAAAAACACATTACTATCTCAATAAAAGACAATAATTTACAACAGAAATATAAAAAACAAAAACACAGGGAATAGTCAGGTGTCATGCTCCGCTCTGACTAGAAGGCCTGGGAGAAGAAGTGAGTCTTTAGTGAGGATTTAAAAAACCCTAGTGTCTGGGCCGACCTCACATGGAGGGGCAGACTATTCCAGCGCCTGAGGCCAGCTGCTGCGAAGGCTCGGTGACCTCAGGTTTTGAGCCTGGTCTTGGGCACTATCAGCAACAGCTGGTCAGCAGACCTTAAACCTCTGGCTGGGGTGTAGCGATGGAGGAGTTTGGCTATATAGGCAGGAACCAGCCCATTTAGGGCTTTGAAAACAAATAAAAGGATTTTAAAATCAATTCGGAACTGAATTGGAAGCCAGTGTAGTGAGGCCAGAATTGGGGTGATGTGGTCACGCTTTTTGTGGCCAGTCAGAAGACGTGCAGCTTATAGGCGGAGTTTGACATTTGCGCTTGGGGGGGCAAACCTTTTTTACTGACATCAGTACACAGTCCCAACTATTGCGTGGGGTGCTACGGATACAGTAGCAATAAAGCCAGCATTCACCGCACTGTATGACTTTTCCACATACGAACATAACTCGTCCCGTCATGCACGCCTCATGCTCATATGGAAGGGGCGGTCTCTCCCCCCAACAACAGTGCATTACATAACTGTAACACTTATCATAACTGTGCACATCTTATACTTATTTGATACTATATCCCTTGGTTACTTGAACACGCTACAATATTATTAACCAGTGTCCTACCTTAGTGCAGAAGTAGACGCCTTTTTTTACGTTCCGCATATGTGTCGACTCCACTATCCCCTCAGGTGACAGCTGTGTGATTATGTCGTCCTCAATGTGAAGAACCGCAAGTGAGGAAAATCTTGTTCCTCCCATCTTTGACCGCAGCCAGTTCCGAATTCTCCTCATTGCAGAAAAACTTCTCTCAGAGGTGGCAGAGTCAGTGCCAACGAGCATCTTGTATAGATTTGGATAGCTGTCCTTTTTAACAGTCTTTCGGGTTAGGTAATCGCCGAATATCCATTACTGCTAATTCTTGTAATACAATAGCTGAATCACTTGTATGCAAAAAAAAAGCGAGGGAAATGTGTCCTTAACCTCACACGTCACACACACACACACACGTCACAACATGCGACTGCTCAAAAATGAAATGATTTCAAACAAAACATGATATTATTCAGATTTGTATTGTAACAATCATTTTATTACATCTATTAAAATATTGATATACGAAATATTTGTATTGGAACAGTTTTAGACGTAGTAATGCTGTAACATATTTCAGCCACTAGGGGGGAAAATGCCCCCCCTCAAAATCCGCCTATGGTGCAGCTGCGTTTTGGACTAGCTGCAGGCGTTTAATTGAGGCCCGGGCTGCGTCTCAGGTCGGTTATTTTCATTTCCTCGCTTCTCGGTCCTCTGTATCACCGGAAGTTGATTTGTCTGCGCCATCTTGAGTAGCGTCCCATGGCGCTTATTTCTGCCGGAGGACCGAGGAGCGAGGAGCGAGGAGCGATAAGGAGCGATAACCGAGGAACCACCAGACCATCCTCCGGTGAAATCCTCAGCCACTCGCTCCGCCCCCTTACTGTGTATCGCTCACTGATTGGACGATGCAGTGCATGCACTGATCTGATGCTTCTTGACATGAGAGCAGTTTCCCAGCGGAGCAGGCCCGGTTCCAGAACAAAATGACTCAGGGTGCATCTGAGATTAGAGAGGGTGCAGTGGTAAAGTTGTCACGATCTGCCTGTATTGTATTTTGTCTTGTCTTGTTTCATGTTTTATGTTGAAAGGTCTTCACTTCCTGTCTTGCCTGTTTCTGTCTGCGTTGTGTCTTGTTTAAATCTGTCTGTGGTTCCCGGTCGTTAATTTCCCTGGTGTGTCTAATTTACCCGATTGTGTTCACCTGGTGTCTTGTTTCTGTGATTAGTCTTGTGTGTATTTAAGTTCTGGTTTTTCTGTCTGTCTTTGTCGGTTCGTCTTTTGTCATGACTAGTTCGTCGGTGAGTGTTCTGTTTTGTCTTTGTTGTTCACCTAGCCTTGAAATAAAGGAATTCTCACTTTAATCTGCATTTGGGTCCTACCTGCTTCACACACCGTGACAGAACGAACCGACCAGAAAATGGACCCAGCAGATGATCCATGGGAGGTTGAATTACAGCATTTAACCTTCTATCTGGCTTGCTGCTTCGATTAGTGGAAGGGAGCGTCCAGTGTTCGGCAGAAGAGGGCCGCTCTGGTAGAGGCGCTCCGGTTGGCAGCAGAGAAACCATGTTTTGTTGAGTTCTTACCTAACTGGATTTTGGACTTCCTTCAAGCATGTGATTCCCGGCCTGCTAGCCCCAGGCATGCTAGCTCCCTGTCTCCCAATTCCCAACCTGGCACCATACGCCTTGGTGGGTTCCGCCTGAAGTCAACCCGTGCTTCTGCCCCAGTTCCTGCTCCTGTCCTGGAGTCGTATTCCGGAACTCGTCTGGCTTATTCAGTATTCAGGAGGCTGCAGGAGGCTGCTAAGAGGAGTCGTTGCAAGGCCAGGCTAGCAGCCCGAGTCCCAACAGCCATGGTTCCGGCTCCAGTACAGGCCCCAACAGCCATGGTTCCGGCTCCAGTGCCGGACCCAGTAGGCATGCCTCCATGCTCCAGTACCGGCCCACGCAGCTTTGCATCCATACTGGATTACCTGGCTTACACAGCCAGGGTCCAGGCTTCCGCGCCGGACCCAGCAGCCATGATTCTGGCTTCAATTCCGGCTCCAGAACCGGACCTTACAGCCATGTTTCCGGCTCCAGAACCGGACCTTACAGCCATGTTTCCGGCTCCAGAACCGGACCTTACAGCCATGGCTTCAATTCCGGCCCCCGCAGCCATGGTTCCGGCCCCAGCAGACATGGTTCCGGCTTCAGTACCGGCCCCGGAAGCCATGGGCTCGACTCCAGTTTCGGCTACAGGGCTGGCTCCCCAGCCAACGCCAGCTCCCCGAGTCTTGTCGGCGTACCGGCCGACTCCAGCACCTCGTCTCCTGCTGGCTCCCCAGCCGACGCCAGCTCCCCGAGTCTTGTCGGCGTCCCGGCCGACTCCAGCACCTCGTCTCCTGCTGGCTCCCCAGATGACGCTAGCTCCCTGTGTCCTGTCGGCGTACCGACCGACTCATATCCCCTCTCCAGTTCCTACCCGAGTCCCCTCTCGAGTTCCCTCTCAGGTCCTCTCTCGAGTTCCCTCTCGGGTCCCCTCTCGAGTTCCCTCTCGGGTCGCCTCTCGAGTTCCCTCTCGGGTCCCCTCTCGAGTCCCCTCTCTGGTCCCCTCTCCAGTCTCCTCTCAAATCCCTTCTCGAGTCCCCTCTCAAGTCTCCTCTCCAGTTCCCTCTCCAGTTCCCTCTCAGGTCCCCTCTCGAGTCCCCTCTCTAGTCACCTCTCAAGTTCCTACCAGAGTCCCCTCTCGAGTCCCCTCTCGAGTCCCCTCTCGAGTCCCCTCTCGAGTCCCCTCTCGAGTCCCCTCTCCAGTTCCCTCTCCAGTTCCCTCCTCTAGTCCCTCCTCTAGTCCCTGCTCTAGTCCCTCCTCGAGTCCCCTCTCTAGTTCCCCTCGCGAGTCCCCTCTCGAATTCCCTTCTCTAGTTCCTCCTCTAGTCCCCTCTCTAGCTCCCCTCTCGAGTCCCCTCTCGAGTTCCCCCTTGGTTCTCCTCTCGAGTCACGTCTCGAGTTCCCCCTTGGTTCCCCTCTCGAGTCTCCTCTCGAGTCGCCTCTCGTGTCACGTCTCAAGTCCCTACCCAATATCCTGGTCCGTTGGAGGTTCCGCTGGGGGTCCTGCCAACTCCATGTCCTGTCCCGTTGGAGGCCCCGTCGACTACTCCTCTGCCGAGGGTCCTACCAATTGTATGTCTGTCCCGTTGGAGGTCCCGCCGTCTACTCTCCTGCCGGGGGTCCTGCCAGCTCCTTGTCCTGTCTTGTTGGAGGTCCCGCGGACTACTCTCCTGCCGGGGGTCCTGCCAACCCTTTGTCCTGTGCCGTTGGAGGTGCCGCCGTCTACTCTCCTGCCGGGGGTCCTGCCAGCTCCTTGTCCTGTCTTGTTGGAGGTCCCACCGACTACTCTCCTGCCGGGGGTCCTGCCAACCCTTTGTCCTGTGCTGTTGGAGGCCCCGCCGACTACTCTCCTGCCGGGGGTCCTGCCAACCCTTTGTCCTGTCTCGTTGGAGGTCCCGCCGTCTACTCTCCTGCCGGGGGTCCTGCCAATCCTATGTCCTGTGCCGTTGTAGGCCCCACCGACTGCTCTCCTGCCGGGGGTCCTGCAAATCCCGTGTCCTGGTCCTCTTCCGTGGGGGATCCTGCCGAGGCCTGTCCCACCAGCTCCGACACCGGGTCCTGCGCGGCCTCCGGCACTGTCCCGTCAGCGCCTTCCTGCCCGGCCTCCGGAGCTCTCTGGTCTTCGCCCTCGAGCCCGGGCCCCTGAGAGCCACGGTCTTCGCCCTCGAGCCCGGCCCTCTGTGAGCCGTGGTCTTCGCCCTCGAGCCCGGCCCCCTGAGAGCCGCGGTCTTCGCCCTCGATCCCGGCCCTCTGTGAGCCGTGGTCTTCGCCCGCGATCCCGGCCCCCTGACTCTTCCTGCCGCTGCCTTCGCCCTCATGCTCGGCCGCCCGAGTCCCCCACCTTAGACTCTGCCTTGCCCCCGGGCCGTCCGCCCGAATCCCCCTTTTTGAACTCTGCCTTGCCCCCGGGCCGTCCGCCCGAGAACCCCTCCTTGAACTCTGCCTTGCCCCCGGGCCGTCCGCCCGAGATCCCTTCCTGGTCCTCTGCTGTGCTCCTGGGTTGTCAGCCCAGACCCGTCCTCCGGACCCCCTCCACCCGCCCTTGTGGCCCTAGTTTTGTGTCCCTCCTCCGGTCCCCCTCCACCCACCCTGCTGGACATTGTTTGTTTTTTTGGTGGTTTAGGGACGTCTGGAATCCGTCCCTTGAGGGGGGGGGGTACTGTCACGATCTGCCTGTATTGTATTTTGTCTTGTCTTGTTTTATGTTTTATGTTGAAAGG